GAGTTCGTGGGTGTTCAGAATGGTTTGATCCCTATTCAGCTGAATTCCTGAGACCAGACGAAATCCAGGTCTCCTACTCCTCCGCCATCTTGCTCTGCCCTCTCTGCCTATTAGTTTTTGTAGAAAGGCCTTGACTTTTCCAGCAGCAACCTTTAGTACAGTCTTGTCTCCAAGGGCTTTGTTTTTTCATCTGTTTGTGAGCACCAGCACCTCCATACCAGGAGGATGGGACACTTAAGAAGGCCCAAGAATGGGCACCTGAGTGGCTCAGTTGGTTAAGCGACTGCCTTCGGCTCAGGTCATGACCCCGGAGTCCTGGGATCGAGTCCCGCATCGGCCTTCCTGCTCAGCGAGGAGTCTGCTTCTCCCTCTGACCCTCCTACCTCTCATGCTCTCTGTCTCTCATTCTTTCTCTCTCAAATAAATAATCTTTAAAAAGAAAAAAAGGCCCGAGAAGTAGGAAACTGTCATGGTGGATTCAGAATCAGAGCAGGTGTTTGGGGGGAGAAGCAGCCCTTGAGGCCATAGGGAAGAAGGAAGGAGTATTTAGAGAGCACCTCTTATGGACCACGTATTTTTATAGCAATTACCCTGATAGGTGGGTTCTGTCCTGACTTCATAGATGAAGAAGCAGAGACTGACAGAGCCAGGGAGCTTCTCTGAGTTCCTGAAACCAGGAGGAGCCGTAGTGCAGGTGGGGTCTACCTGCCTCACTGTGGCCCATGTTCTTTTCTTGCAGTACCCCTGCCTTCTATACAGGTCCACCTGCTTCTGGTGGTCATTCTCTTCCTTCCTGGGTTTCCCAGCATCTTCTGTTTCCCTGTTCGAAAACCAGTTCTGTGAACCGGTCCCGAGAGCAGGGTTGCCCAGCCCTCTCTGGCCACAGTGCGTCTTCCAGAGCGGCCCGTGGGCACAGCAGCACGGGGGACGCGGGACGCAGCTTCATGCCACAGCCCCCGCCCTGTGCCCTGTGCCAGGCACTCTGCTGGTCTCTGAGCCACTCTCTCACGGCTTCCTTCAGCTAGAAGAGGCTGGTTGTGACCAGTTGGCCCCACTAGCTCATGACCTGCAGTTTGGCCCCGTGGTTTTGCAGTCTGGCCTCTGGGAGTATTGTCAGCAGAGCGCTTGGTCATCTCAAGAGCCCATCTCCTCCCAGCCCACCTGAGACCTGGGCTCCCATGTTGCTGGCCACCTTGTTTCTTTGTTTCTCCCCAGGGACAGGGGAGGGATCCCTCCTAACATAGTATTCCAGCACTAACTAGAACTGGGAAACATCCCACCAACTGCTGTGGTGTCTTTCTGTAGTTAACATGTATTTGTAAACTACTTAACTGTAAAGCCATAACTTGTTCTGCCTATTCTTGCTTTTGATCTTGATATTTTTATATTTCCTTCCTGTTGTCTTATTCCAGATTTTTTTCCCCAAGGTATTTCACTTCCTTTAGCTACTTCTTTTTTTTTAAATTTAATTTAATTTATTTATTTGACAGAGACACAGCGAGAGAGGGAACACAAGCAGGGGGAGCGAGAGGGAGAAGCAGGCTTCCTGCGGAGCAGGGAGACCGATGCGGGGCTCGATCCCAGGACCCCAGGACCATGACCTGAGCCGAAGGCAGACTCTTTAACGACTGCAGCTACTTCTTTCTTAACGAGTTTTAAAACCAAATAAAAGATTTGCCGTTTATCTGTGTTGGAATTATAGCTCACTTTTTTTTTTTTTGAGTACGGCAGGTTAGCCTGATAAGAATAGAATTTGTGACTGATTTGTAATATACTACTTTCTAATTTTACATTTTAAAAATAAGAGGGGCCCCTGGGTGACTCTGTCAGTTAAGCAGCTGACTCTTTTGATTAAGGCTCAGGTCATGGCTTCAGGGTTGTGAGATCGAGCCCCATGGCGGGCTCCGTGCTCAGTTCCAAGTCTGCTTGAGATTCTCTCTCTCCCTCTGCCCGTCCCCCTTTCCTGTGTGTGCACTCCCACTCTCTCTAGAAATTAATAAATCTTTAAAATAGACTAGAGAGCTAGTGACTGGTGTGCAACTAGGGTAGAGTGACATCACCTCTGTGTCTTGTGTGCCCCGAGGGTGATGTGACAGTGTGTGCCCTGTAACGTGACTATCGCTCAAATATACCACACTCCTCTCTTTCCCCAGCCCTCCCAGCCACAACATTGTGGTGAATGGAAAACAATGTGTCAACTTTGCCTCATTTAATTTTCTGGGATTGTTGGATAACCCTCGGGTCAAGGTAAGTAGCACCTGTACCGAAGACAGCACGATTACTTATGAAAGTGGGCACAAGATAAAGACAAGTGCAGAACATCGGAACGGGCTCTGTCTGCTGGCCATTTGCCATTGCTCTTTCTTGGCAGAGCTGTGACGGGGTTTCGACAAAGCGTAGGCCATCGGGATGTCTGGTCTGTCTTAGCAGCGGTGACATGCAGAGACTCGTGTGAGCCAGCCCCAGCTGATAGTCAGAGGTGTGCCCAGGAAATTGCTGCATCTCCTGGGAGGTTGTGAGCCCGTGAACAGTTCTGAGGAAAGACTTAGGCCCAGAAATACCAAAAATCATAAAGGCCTTGAGTTAACCACGTTTGGATAATTAAACTAATACAACTTTTCCGTGTTTGAAGTTCTGCCCCTAAATCTTGACGTGTGTCTGCTCTTTATATCCTATTAGAATTGCCGCGGTTCTGAGGAAGGAAGGTAGTGGGGGGAGGGGGTGTTAAAGAATAGGAAGTGTCAGTTTTGCACCCTGAAAGATAAAGAATGAAAGACCTGAATTTTCTTCCACAAAGGCAGCGGCTCTGGCGTCTCTCAAGAAGTACGGTGTGGGGACCTGCGGGCCTAGAGGATTCTACGGCACGTTTGGTATGTTTCTGCTGTCTTTGTCCCGCCACTTAACTGCTTTTAAGGATTGATTCAACTTGATTTCAAAACTCCTTGGAAGAGATAACCTTGATTAATCGTGATGTTGAGTGGGTGAGTGCTTTTTGTGTGAGACGCACCAGTCCGGGCCTGGATGTCGCTCCTGGAGGAAAGGCCTTGCTGCCTCGGGGCCGCCATGTCAGTAGGGCAGAGCCTGAGCTGCTGTTGTAGGCGCCCCGGGGAGAGTAGTACGAGGAGACCTGGCTTGTTTCTGTCATGCATGACAGTTGGAAGGGGAAGGGTCCCGTTGCAGGTGGCTCTGCTCTTCATAGTTCTGTAGGAACCTGGTTCCTCCCCGTCCCCTTCCTCTAGTGCTGAGGGCGCTGTCCTTGTCCGCGAGGGTGCAGCCAGGTGGCAAGTGTTGGGGGAGCAGGCGTGCATGGCCGTAGTACCCTTTGAGGCAGGCAGGGGGCGTTGCACATCACTCTGCCCACATTCTGTTGGGAAGCCCAGAACCTGGGTCAAGCCTCACTGAGTGGACTGGGAGATGGCTTCAGCTGGGCAGCCACCTCCTGCCGGAAGGAAGACAAAAACAGTCGGGGGTAGGAAGTGGGTGAAGGATTTATAATGTAGCTCTTTTTTTTCTGGAATGAAGAGGAAGGGTCATTGATTTCCAACTACATATTAGGACGAGTGTGGTTTCAAACACTACAAAGTCCTTAACAAAGAGTCCTCAGAGAAAATGTTCTTAAATAATTGCTCAAATGAATATATTCCTGGAAATAACATTCTGGCTTACACATGTGTCAGCATGTGAGGAAAATAGAGTCCGGGGAAGTCTCTTCTGTCTTCTGTTTGAGTTTCCATTTCTAGGCCTTTGTGTGTATGTGTTTTGCTTAAACAGTTAAGGTGTTTTTATTTAAGGGAGCACCTTTCTTTATTTCTTAGCTAGCTTAGTAGTTACATTATTTGTATTGGAAACAGACAACAGAGTAGGTGTCTAAGCCTTTTAAGCTGGAAAGGATCTGAAATATCTTGCATTCCAGCATCCCAGCCCTTCAGAAGCAGCACAGAAAGTTCAGAGAGGTTACATGACTTCCTCACAGTCACATAGCTCATTAATTTCAGACTTATAACTAGAAGCCAAGTATCCTGACTGCCAGTCTTAATGGCAGGATCAAAGACTTACAGAGCACCGACCAGTCTTCCTCTTTGCTCCAGTCTAGTGCAAACATGGGTTGTTTGCCTGGTTTTTATGGGTAAGGAATTATTTCCTAGATACATAGTATTAGAAAGCTAGGAAAGACATTTTTTTATGGGTTGTTTGTTGTAATCTGATCAAGACTTTCTGTGATTTGCTTGCTGGGGTTAAAAAAAATAACTCTCTTAAAAGCTTTTCTTTTTAGGGGATTTTATTTTCATGTGTGGCCTTGGCTCCTGCTTGGGAGTTAATTTGAGAAAACAGATAGCAGATTTATTGCTAAATCAAGTCATGAAAAAGAAAGGTTTCAACTCTTCAAAACCAGTTTTCCCAGAGCTGGTAAAATAACCCAGTCAGCTTTCTGTTTGGATCCCCTGGAATATAATATGCAATAATAGGTTGTTGTGTGCTTCCAGATGTGAGGCCTTTAGTTAATGGTTTTCAAGTTAATATTCTTGATTGAATAATTCAGCCCATGATATAAGCTTTGGAAGGTTATAGAGAATGAAAGTCGTCTCCTCCACCATTATCGCAACCCTCCAAAAAGACAGCTGCTATCAGTAGTTCCTTACTAATTCTTCCAGAGACTTTCTTCAGCAAATGAAAACACTTCCATACATACATTTTTCCCTCTATTTTAAAAAAAATGGTAGCATAGCCCGTGTGTATTCTGTACCTTGCTGTTGGAGTGAGTTTGTTTGAAATTTAAATTGGATGTGGATTTTCAGGGGTCTTTTTTTTTTTTTTTTTTTTGGATTTTCAGGGGTCTTAAGCAGATTCCTCACTGAGTGCAGAGCCTTACGCGGGACTCAGTCTCATGACCCTGAGTTCATGACCTGAGCTGACATCAAAAGTCAGAAGCTCAACCAACTGAGCCATCCAAGGGCCCCCCCAAAAGGTTATTTTTAATTTCATCTTTTTTTTTTCTGGGAGTGACATTCAGGCATCTATTTTCAAAGATGAAAATACTTCCTTATTTAGCTCTTTTCTCAGCTTTTCAAAAATGAATGTAAATCACTAGTAAAAGTAAATTTTTTTATTAAAATGTTTTCCTTTTTATTATTTCATAGTAACATATTAGAAGACATTAGATGATTAATACAGAAGAAGAACAAACAGTGGTTGAGTTAAAATTTGTCTAGTTTCTTAGGCTGAATGTTCTCCTGCCTTTGGTAAGTAGAAATCCATAAGTTCTTCTGATAATCTTGTAAGGACTATATGGTTAGCAGTTTTTCCACCTTCTCATTTTATTGTTAGAATGTGTGTTTGAGAGCGGAGTGAGTGGATTTGTCAGGTTAGAGAACGTACTTTCCTCTATGCACTTTTACACTTTCTCTAATCCAACTTCTTTGTTTTCTTTGAGTACATTCAGATCTCTTTTGCTTGAGGTTTATCACTGGTTTCCCAGGAGGCGCTTTGCATATACAATGCCTACTTGACTCTTTGTTCTTAAACTAAATCAGAATTTAGTCAGTGGCAGGATTTCATGGTGAGGGATAGTGGCATCTAATTGTGTTCAAGAGCCATTAGTAAACAAATTGTTCAGTTGTTTATTTTTCAAAATATATTCTTTCTTTCTTTTAGAGCACTCAACTGAATCATGACTGCATGTTTTATTAGGAAGAACATTTGGTCATAAAGTTCCTAGATCCGCCTCTACTAACCGGCCATGGGATTGTTTTTGCAGTGTAGGAGGGGAACAGTCCTTGTTTGCACAGCTTAGAACATTTTGGCAAGAATCACGTAAGATGCTGCACTTAAAAACATTTTGGAAAACATTCAGCCCTGTATTTATGTTCTAATGAGTGCATAAGTGATACTATTTGTACTTTTAAGAAAAGTTGTCCGAGTCCCGAGGGATTAAAAGGAAAACAGTATATAACAAAATTTAGAAGCCTTAAGAAAAAATGTAGTGGGTTGTTTTTAAACTGTTCTAAAGTTGACTCTTTTATAGTCTTTCCTTTGGAAGACAACCAAGAAAGCCAAAATACTCTTAGCAGAATAAAAGAGGAGATATATAAATGGGAAGCTGAATGAACAAGTTACTATAATATAAAGTTCTTAAATATGTGGGATTTAGACAACTTAATTAGAAAAAGTGTAACTGCTTTTTTCCTTTTAAAAGAAAACCTTTTATTCTACAAATACTGATTTAATTGTACAAACACTTAAACGGTGTACTGGATTTTCCATGCCGGACGTGACTCTGAGTGTTTCATAGGCATTGACTTGTGTGGTTCCGGTAACAATCCTTTGAGAATGGTCCGACTGTTACCTGTTTGACAGAGGAAGGACCTGAGAGGCATGGAGCAGTTTCAGGCCTGCCCTGGTCCACACCTGGTGAGGCGGGAGGCAAGATCTGGAACCCCCTGCAATGACTGCCGTGGCCAGGCCCCGCCCTGGGTGCCAGACATCCTGTATTGGCCTTGAATCCCTTCTTTTAGGTTCTGGTTAGGGAACAGGTGCAAGAAAGGGCAATGAGCTCTGGGAGGGACACTTCCCTCCATGACTTCTCCCCTACAGTTTGTTCCTAGCAGTGAATCAGAAGATGTGGTGCTTTACTTGCACTCCGTGCGAATCTGTGGCACCAGTCGGTGGAATGGATCATCTGTACAGAAGACAGACAGCAGAAGCAGGAGAACATGGCCTGGCACTTTCCCTGTTTGCTGCCTCCCTTCCCTTGGGCTGAGGGCTTTTCTGTTGCACAGAGTAGCTATCACACATCAGGAGAAGTTACGCAGCTCCCCATGTCTACCTCTCACAAAACCTGCTTTGCAAGGCTGCCTTCAGTTAAAACCCAGTGTCTTCAGGTATGAGGAGAAAAAAAGCCAGTCTTTGTTAAACTTTTGGGAAAGGCAAGAACCAGTAAGTCATTGACTTACTGTAGATTCTTCTTAACCACTTTATGGCAGTGATATAAAAACAGTTATGAGTATGTACAACAATGAGAATGTTTCAAGCATGCAGTTTTCATCAACTGGGTAACTAACACTAAAGCCCTGAAATTAAGCCAAGATTGTTTTACTTTCTCATCGCTCATTAGTGAAAAAAATGAGCCCTTTAAAGTGGAGTCTACAGAATGATTTAAAATCTTTTTCGTAGTTAGCAAAATTAGTTTGTGTCCATAGCACGTATTTTGTTTTTGAAATGGAGATACTGGATGAGAGCACTTCTGGGGCTCGGATTGTCTGTCTGCTAGCTAAATCATGGAGATTTGGGGTAGATAGTCCCGATTTAGAGGCCACATTGTCATTTGTAGAAGGGGGACCTGCCCTCATTCCGATCAGAAGTGGGGGTGATGGGGACTTGCCTGTAGCGCTCTAAGGAAGGGGCAGGCGCTCCTTGCTCAGTGTGGGAGGTGCCCGGTTCTCCAGCGTGTGGCGGTTTTCCCCGAAATCTGTCACCGGCAGCATGTGGCAGAGGGCGGGCAGTCAGGGTCAGGGTCATGTCCTCTGTGCTGGTGATGTCACAGGTCTGAGGCTTGAAGACCTAAGCACCCCTTTGATACCATTTTGATCAAATGGGATGTAGTCGTCTTTGTTACTATAAAATCCCATCCTTATTTATGTTGATGTCATTCTGTACAAGGACCTTTCGGGAGTGGAAATCAAACAGCACTTCCTGTGCTTTTTGTAATCGATTATGTTGGTGTACATTTTAACTATAAATAGGAAGAAGCATGTTTGGTCTTTTATGTATACACATCTTGGAGGATTGTGAAAATGAACTGTTTATCCCGTTCCAATCAAGTAATAATAGAAGAATGGACTTGTTAAAAATATATTGTAGGAAGTGGATGAGGGAAGTCCAGTAATGTTCTCAGTCAGTCATTTATTAAGCAAACATGCAGTGACTGTCACGTCAAGACAGGTAGTCTGATAAGCACAGGGTCAGGGAGAAAGACCAGGTTTGTGCCACCTGACAAAGCGACACAGCTGAGAGAGGTGGGTATGGCTCACGGAGGAGAGCTCTGGAGCTCTGAGCCCGGAGGAAGGGACGAGGCCAAGCCGAGCCTGCGGGCTGCTGGCCCCTGCTACACTCAGAAGTACAACACGTGCACCGTGATTCCTGACTGAGGACTGAGAGCACTTGGTTGTGAACTGAGGGCGTGGGTGGGAACTAGCCACCGAGTCGGAGGTGGCAAACTAAGCGAAACCCCAGTTTGGTGGCAGGAGACCTATAGTGAGGAATCCAAGAATTGAGCAGCAATACCCAGAAAATAAACGAAAGCCTACTTTATGTATGTGCTTCGCTGACCCTTGACAGGGCGTACGGCAGAAATCTGATTTGGGTCCTGCTGTAGTGGAAAGAGCTAAAGGAAGTTTTAAAAGTCCTCTTCTCTCCTGGGTAATGCCTCATTTTAGGACCACTTTGACGTTTTCAGGTTCAAAGGTGGTGTGTGCACTGTTTATTCTCGACATCGCTGGGCCCTCCCTGCCAGGGTGTGCAGCCTCGTGGCTGAGCCTGGGAAGGTGAGCGGCAGTAAGGAACCGCAATAGGAGAAGGAGAGGCACCAGGTTATCAACGGGCACAGTCCACTCCTGCTGTTACATCAACATTCTTCCCCAGGGGCTTCTGTAAAATACTGCATCTCTCCTTGTACTATACATTTGAAGTCCCCAGTATACTTAAAAAATTCAGACAGAAAAGTCAGTGCTGCTGAGTGAGCAGATGCACAGGTGTGTGCTGATACAGCTATCAGAGAAGGGAGCTCTGGCTTGACGCAGAGTATGTGGGGTTCTTTTACTCGTCGTTTTCCTCTTAAAAGTTGGTTAACAGTTGTCTTCCTGTCTGGTGTGGTACCTTCTGCTAAAATGCAAAAAGGCTTTAATAAATTAACATGTCACACATTGGTGAAGCCTCGGTGTGGTCGGTTGAGGGCAGTTAAAGCAGGTAAAGTCACTGGGCCTTGTATTGCCTTGCTAGAGTGACGTAGAAGCAAAACCCAGAATTGGAGCTGCCCCACTAACACACTGTATGGACAGAAGCATAGCTGATTCCATTCACAGGTTTGAGAAATCATTTTGGCCAAGAATCATCTAAACAGATTTCATATAATTTATAACTCAAAACAATTTTATTTGGGCCATAAAGTGACAGTAATACTAACTAAACTGCTTACATTATTTTCTTTATTCTTTACTTAAAGAAAAAGAATTAGAAGATGTTTTAACCATTTACATCTTATTATAGATGTGCACTTGGATTTGGAAGACCGCCTAGCAAAATTTATGAAGACAGAAGAAGCCATTATCTACTCATATGGATTTGCCACCATTGCCAGTGCTATTCCTGCTTACTCTAAGAGAGGGGACATTGTGTTTGTGTGAGTAACTTTACCTGTGTTTCTAATCAGAATTCCTTTGGACATAATGGTAATCTTCCTGGAGAATTCCTTTGTTAGAGGTTATCTACCTTAGGTAATACTGACTTTCTGTTTAAAGAAATACAAGGTAACTTCCATGAAGTAATTGTGCAGCATTGATGAGACCGTCACTAGAAGGATGCCTGAAGTATTTTTTTTTTCCATTGGTTTTATTTATTGATGTTGGGAAAGCCAAACCTACCCTGGGTGAGGCCAATTATCTCCCTTCCCTCTGCAGTTCTGTCCTTGAGAGTCCACGGTCACTGCCTACGTGCTCACTCAAACTGCCTGGCAGAGTCCTTCATTGCTCCCCACCCCACCCCGAGTCCTGGGCTCTGCTGACCTTGCTTCCTGGCTTGCTAGGATCATAGAAGCCACGAGCAAATCTGCACACTTGGCGCCCACATGCACAGGCTGTGTGGCGTTGGCCGCTTTTGTGGAGAGGAAGAGCCGAGAGTGGGTGGGGCTGGCATGGCTGGGCAGCTGGCTGCACCCACCGCACGCACCGCCCTCTCTCCTAAGCCTCTGTCATCTTTTGAGTGGACCATTAAGTGCCTTTGAATTTTAGGTCTCAGATTTACTTTTGTTTCCTCTTTTCCTTTTTTTAGAACAATCTTTTTAAAAAGTGCTAATCTGATTATGTCATGCTTAAGAGCTTCCATCATTCCTAAAATAAAGATCCAAGTCCTTATTACAGTCTTCTGCATTCTAGACTACCTTTTCAGACTCATTTTGTCCCCTTTTCATTCAGGTGCTCGTGCTGTAGCCTCATCAGCCCTGTATGCTAGTTTCCTCTCATTTTAGGACCTTTGCACATGCCAGTCCCTGTGCCTAGAGTAGTCTCCTCCTCTCCTCCTACTTGATGCCTGCTCATTCTGCTCACCCTGCACGTATATCGCCTCTGCAGGGAAGCCTTCCCCAACCTCTCAGACCAGGCCAAGCCCCTGCTGCGTGTGGAGAAAATCTCACAGCCAGAGGAGTTTGGTATTCTTGTGAATCCATGATCTCATGGTGCTCCCGCTGCCTGTCAAAGTCCCTCTGCTTCCCAGGCCTTCCGTGCGCGCATGTGCACACACCCACACAGCCCCTCTGTTCTCTGCTCATCTTGCCTCACACTCACTGTGCTCTTCTTTTGTTGCACTTTCATCGGTTTATCCTCGTTTATTGCCTAGGAGGGCATTTGCCGTTCAGCTGTGCTCAGTAAACACCAGCTCAGTAAATAAATGAACAGAGATTGGTGCTTAGAAGAGGGGTCCGAGTGACAAGGCTTCAGAGCCCAGCTTCCCGTGGCCCCTGTACCGGCGTCCTGCCTCTCACTGGCAGGCTCCTGCTGGTGCAGCAAGCTCAAGCACACGCCGCAGCTCCGGCTCTGCCTGGGCTTCGGGGGTGGGGGGGTGGGGGGCAGTGCGGCCTGTCCTGCCCCACAGCCCCGCAGCAGCCCAGCGGCACCAACACACGGCCTATGCTGAACTTGTATGCTTCCTTTGTCAGATCACGAATATGGTATTGTCTTCCCCATTTTAACTGCGGGGAAGCCTGGGCCACACTCACTCCCACATACCGTTCACTGCATCGGAGAGCTTCAGTTGCTACTCAGTTAGGCAGCTTAGTTATTCTCTTACCACACGGAGTTTTAAATATTCTGCCCAGGATTCATTCAGAGATAGGAACACTGGAGATAATGATGGTGTTTAGTAAATTATTTGATAAATTCATTAGGCCTAGATAGTATGTCCAGGGCTTAATTTCTTCCTTTTAGTAAATAGTGGTAAAGCACAGCGGTTGCTCATATACTACATCTGTCCCTGTTTATGACAAATAATACAGAGATTCTGTGTGCCCTTTGCCCAGTCTCCCCCAGTGGTTACTTCATAGCTGGAATTTTGACATGGATAAAGTCAAGATACAGAACATTTCCATCACCACAAGGATCCCTCAGTTGCCACACCTGTGGTCCCCCCGACCCTACCCACTCCTTATACCCTGGCAACAACTAGCTAGTCTCCTTTTTGTAATGTTGTCATTTCAAGATTATTAATACAAATGTAGTCATATAGTAAGTAATATTTGGGGATTCGCTTTTTTCACTCAGCATTAATTCTCTGGTGATCCATCCATGTTGTATGGATCAAGAATTCATTCCTTTGGATTGCCGAGTCGTATTTCATGGTATGGAAGCACCACAGTTGCTCACCTATGAAGGACATCTGAGTTGTTTCCAGTTTGGGACTATAACAAATAAAGCTGCTGTGAACTTTTATGTACAGGTTTTCTCTAAACCTAAGTTTTCATTTCTGTGGGATGTATATGCCAAGGAGTACAGTTGCTGGGTCATATGGCATCGCATAGTTTTTTAAGAAATTGCCAAACTGTTTTCCAGAGTGGCTGTACCATTTTACATTCCCATAAATAGTATATAAGTGATGTAGTTTTTTGACATCCTCAGAAGCATTTGGTGTTGTCATTTTTTTTTTATTTTAACCATTCTGATACGTGTGTAGAGATACTTTACTGTGATTTTAATTTATATTTCCCTGATGGCTAGTGATGTTTACATTTTTTGGACTTTCTTTGGTCTTGGCATCACTCCACAAAATCTGCTGGGATTCCCTCTTGTATTTTCTGGAGAAATTGTATAAAATTATTGTTAGTTCCTTAAATGTTTGATAGAATTCTCCAGTAAAGCCAACTGGGCCTGGAGATTTATTTTTTGGAAGTATTTTAATTATGAATTCAACTTCCTTAGTACTTACAAGGCTGGTCAAATTATCAGTGTCATACTGATGAGTTAAGATGGCTTGTGTTTTTCAAGGAATTGGTTCACTTCTCAGTTGTCAAACTTCTATATGTCATGTTCTTTGTAGTATATCCTTATTCTTCTAATGTCTGCAGAGCCTGAAGTGGTAACAGGTTTCATTCGTGTGTGGTAATCTGTCTACTCTCTTTCTAGAAGTCAGTTTTGCTACAGGTGGTCAATTCTATTTATCTTTTCAAAGAATCGACTGTTTGTTTCATTGATTGTTCTCCATTGTATTTTTGTTTTCAGTCCTATCACTTTCTGGTGTTATTTCCTGCCTTCTGCTCTTTTTTGGTTGCTTTTTGCTCTTCTCTTTTTAGATTCTTTAGTTGGGAATTTTGATTGTTGATTTGAGACTTTTCCTCTTTTCTAATGTGTTAGTGCTGTGCACTACTTATGCACTACTGTGGCCTCGTCCCATACACCTTGATCTGTTTATTTTTATTTTCATTTAGTTCGGTGTATTTTATTTTCCTTTAGACTCTCTTTGACTCATAAATTATTTAGAAGTGTGTTTAATTTCCAAGTGTTGGGAGATTTTAAATTTGTTCTAGTTTGTGTCACGGCTCATGATGTGGTCTATGTTGGAGTATGTCCCCTTGTCACTTAAAAAAGAGTATTCTGCCATTGCTCAGTGTACTGTTTTATAAATGACAATTAGATCTGCTTAGTTGATGGTGTGTTGAGGTCTAATATACCCTTGCTGATTTTCTGTCTGGTAGTTCTACAGTTACTGTAGTTGTGATTTAGCTATTTTTTCCTTTCACTTATCTTAACTTTTTCTTCTCACCTTTTGTAGCTCTGTTGTTTGGTGCGTATTTTCTTGGTTAAATGATCCTGGTTATCACTGTATAATGTTCTTCTCTGTCTCTGGTAATTTTCTTTGTTCCAAAGTCTACTTTATTAGATATTAATATAGTCACTTCTGCTTTCTCTTGTTGAATGTTTGCATGCTATATTTATTGTATATATTATATACACATCTACTACTACATTATTATATATGTTATTGTATATTTTCTTATAGGCAGGTTATTGTTGGGTCATGTTTGATCCATTCTGCCAGTTTTTGTCTTTAAACTGTGTATTTTGGCCATTTACATTTAGAGTAATTATTGGATAGATGAGGGCATTTTATTTTTTGTTTCTTATTTGTTATCTTTTTTGTTTTTTTGTTTTTCCTCCCTTTCTGGGGGTTAAGTGAACACATTTTGGAATTCCATTTTTACTTATCCATGGTGTTTTTGAGTGTTTCTCATTGCATAGTTTTATTTGTTTTTAGTCATTGCTCTAAATATGACATTATATATACACATAAGTTATCACATTCTGCCGTTTTCATCATTTTACCAATTCAGGTAGAGAAACCTTTACCTTCCTTTACGTTTCTCTACTCTCCTTGTTTATAATTGTTTTAAGTACTTCCTGCACATATATTGAAAACCCCATCAGACAGTGTTATAATTTTTACTTAAATCATCCAAAATAATTTAGAAAACTTGGGAAGGTAGGAAAAGCCTGCTGTGTTTGTTCATACATTTTACTGTGTTCTTTCTTCCTTTCTGATACTCTGAGATTCTTTCTTTTTGTTTTCTTTACTTATTTTTTTTCTACATAGAGAGCTTCCTTTAGCCATTCCTTTTCCCCTGGTCTGCTGGGGCCATCTTCTCTCGGTTTTCCTTTAGCTGAGAATGCCTTGGTTTCCCCTGTACTCCTAAAGGATCTTTTTGCTTGTTATAGAATTCTTGGTTGAGAGTTCTCTTCTTCCAAGTATTTGGAATATATTATGACACTTTTTTCTGGTCTCCATGGTTTCTGATGAGAAATCAGTTGTTCAGATTATTTTTCTCTTGTATGTAAGGTGTCATTTTAGGGGGGCTGCTTTCAAGATTTTTTTGTTGTCGTTTTCAGAAGCTTTACTATAATCTTGGCGTTTATTTATTTGGGTTTACCTGTATCAATATCGCTCAGCTTCTTTATAGATTTCAACTTCTTGCCAAATTTGAGGCGTTTTCAGCTCTTATTTCTTTGAGTACCTTTTCAGCCCTGCCATTTTTCTGTCCTTCCGGACTCCACTGAGGCCAGCATGGCTCTTTGTTGTGGTTGTACAGGTCCCTGAGGCTCTGTTCTTTCTTGTTTGTTTCTCTCTGGTTTACGTTGCCTAGTTTCTGTTGTTATATTTGTTAGTTCTCTTATTCTTTCCTCCGTCCCTCCCAGCCTGCTGCTGAGCCCATCCACTGAACTTTTTCTTTGGGTCTTTGTGTTTTTCAGTTCTAGTTTCTCCATGGGATTCTTTGTCTCCTATTTCTTTGCTGAGGCTTTCTGTTTTTTCCCTTGTTCCAAGCACGTTCATAAGTGCTCATTGAAATATTTTTATCATGACTGCTCTAAAATCATTATCAGGTAACCCTGACATCTGTCAACTCAATATTGGCATTTGTTGATTATTTTCTTTCATTCTGTTTGATATCTTCTTATGTCTTAGTTGGCTTTCTCTGTCACTCTTCCATTAGGGGCAGGGGGCACTACTGCCTCATTGCTGCCAGGTAGAAGTACAAGGCCAGGGTCCCCATTCTGCCTCCACTGACACCAGGCTGGGGCTGTTTTCATTTCCACTGGCATGAGTAAGAGTCCCACTCTCCCCTGAGCCTCCTCTGATACAGCCCGAGTGAAGAAAAGGAGGGTGCACCTCACTGCAGGGGAGCAGGGGTAGGGGCTCTCCACGTGGTCTTCACTGACGCCACCATGAGGGCCACTTGTTACCATCTCTCGGGGATCAAAGTCCCGGCTCCCTTCTCTGATGCCACCATGGCATTGTTGGCGTGCCTCTTAGCTTTGCGAGGGTTAGCTTTGCGAGGGTCAGAACCTAGGCACCCCTCAGCCCTCGCTGGTGTGGAGGGGATGGGCCCAGGCTTTTCTGTGGTTTGGCTGCAGTCGAGTCATTTCTCCTTGCTGGGCTGCCCCCTTCCCTGTCCCTTTGACTACAGAGAGCAGGCTTCTATGAGCTTTTTTGCCTGTGCCCCTTGGCACTTCGAGTTGGCCAGCGTCATCAGCTCCAAGTCAGGGAAGTCCATGAGATGTCATTTCTTAGGTCCTTAGCCAGCCTGTCATTTCTCTTCACTTTTCAGTCTTCTTACGTTCGTTTTATATGTAACATCCAGGGTTTGGGGTTGTACTTAGAAAAACAGGGAAGATAGGACTATTCTATCTTTGCGTGAGAGGTCTTGCGTATACTTTTAAATAATACAACTTAATTTCAAGAGCATATTCCCTCCCTAAGTGTAGAAGATCTTACTGCAGTTTCATCTGCAAGAACCAGAGTCAACAGGCAGTATTACTTCTCATGGCAAAGTAATGGCAGAGTCTGTGCCGATCAAATCCAAGACGCTACTGAGGGTGAGATCACGGGTGCTGTGTGTGTTTCTCAGAAAGAGAAAATTGCAACGGGTGAACGGATGTGCATGCTGACTCCGGAGAGGGTAAAAGCGGCAGGGGTGTGCTCTTTGGAGAGGAATCAACATGGTAGTTCTGTGAAAAGCACGTGCAGAGGGAAGCACAACCAGTGGTGTGTAAGCCGTCAAATGTGTTTTCTTGATTTGTCACGTTAACAAGCAGATTTTGACCAGCTTACAAAAAGCAAGCATTCCTTTTCTGAGAACATTGACAAGGCCTTTTAAAACCCCAGTTTGGTGGGTCTCTCTTCCTTGCAGAGATAGAGCTGCTTGCTTTGCCATTCAGAAAGGGCTGCAGGCATCGCGGAGTGATATCAAGTTGTTTAAGCACAATGACATGGCTGACCTGGAGCGTCTACTAAAAGAACAAGAGATGGAAGATCAAAAGGTATGAGTCTTTTGAAGAAAATTATACAGTTCTTTTGTACTTGCTGACCAGCTAAATTATATATGAAATGGTAATTTGTCATGAAAATTTGCCTGCGGAATACATTTGGATATGAAGTGAGGGCATTCCTGCTTATTAAATGCACTCTGTGTCGGAGAGCCAAGTCTGCCTGTAATTGCCTCAGCGTTGCCATAATTACATGCGGCAGCTTTGGGGGAAGGTAATGCAGGCAGCTTTCTTTAAAAGAGAAAAACAGTGTGCGTGTTGGGGGGCTGGGGGTGGACTCTCAACTCTACGGAAATAACACCAGGACACATTAGTGTGGTGACAGGATGTACCGTGTGGATTCAAGAAAAGTTTATTTCTATCAGAATAAATCATGTATCAATTAACTGGAAGAAACAGTGGCAGCAGATCTTTATGAGTTTATGAATGAAGGGCCTCTGTCCCTCTGAGCAGCTGCTGCCTGTGGGCAGCAGTGACCCCAGCCTGATTTCCTTCCCAAGCACCTGCACCTGCATCCTTGAGGGGCGGGGAGTGGGGGGGGATCCAGCTCCTCGGTGTCCTCATGAGAGAGTGCGGCAGAGGAAAGGTGCCCAGAGCATCACTGGGCTTGTAGTTGTCACGTACTTCCCCTGATGACCCAGATGGAGGAGGCAGTTCTCAACCTGGGCACCACATCCTTTGTCACAAACACCACTTTCCAGAGGACTTTTCCCAGTGCAACTCATTCATTACCGGAGTAAGTGATGAAAAATGCTCACCGTGTTCCTTAATTTTGTTTTAATTTTCATTTTTCCAGATATATGCATCATTCCTTTAAGATTCTGTCATCTGTTTTAGGTGACAGCCCAAGAGCAGTGCTTCATGAATACACACTTTCTTATGATGAATATGCGTGGATTTTCACTGTTTGATGCTGCATGTGCTGTAGGCCAGTGTTTCATAGTTATATAATTTAGAAAAGTCTGTTGGGAAAATCTTAAAATTGAGACCATTCCCCTGATGAATTTCTTTTGATAAATTGTAAAAAGATGTCCCATATTCCAGTTCAGTAATAGAATGCTACCAGGTTGGAGAAGGCAGACTTGAGAATGTGACCAATGAACCAGTCTTCTGTAGAGTGTATTTTCCCAAGGGAGTTTGTACTGATTTGGAAGATAAGGTGTGTGTGTGTGTGTGTGTGTGTGTTTTACAAGATTTATAATCTGGAACTTTTTTTATGAACAATGAGAAATAAAATTTTCTTGAAATTTATTTCCATTTAATAGTTTTTATCTTTTTACTAATTAATTTATACCACATTTTTTGGCATGGGTAGGCTTTCTAAATAACCTTACACTCTGGTTTTGGGAAATAATTTTTTTTTCAATTTCTATTTTCAGATAAATAACTAAATGCCCAGCTTTTGAATATTTTCTACTTAGACGTTTATCTTTTATTTGAAAGTGAATTAAAATATTGTGGTTTCATCCAATTTGGAACAAATTTTTTGGTGTCCATTTTTCAGGTAGTTCATAGATGTTTTTTCATTCTCTTTCATATAAGGTTCTCTTGTTGCATATTAATCCTTCTTTTAAAAAAGGACAGTAGGGGGGTGCCTGGTGGCTCAGTCGGTTAAGCGTCTGCCTTCAGCTCAGGTCATGATCCCGAAGTCCTGGGATCGAGCCCACATCGGGCTCCCTGCTTAGTGGGGAGCCTGCTTCTCCCTCTCCCTCTCCTGCTCCCTCTGCTTGTGCTCTCTCTCTTTCTGTCAAATAAATAAAATCTTTTAAAAAATAAAAAAGGACAGTAGGTAAAAACAACAGTTCTTGGAAGAAATACAAATAAATGTGAGCAAATGAAAAATACTCGGGCCTCACTAAGAATTGGTGAAATTGGGCAAGGAGGTTTCACCTGTCTGATGAGGGAACATTTTTCACAGTTAATAACCAGTGCCAGTACTGATCTGTGTACTCAAACAGGCCCTCCTATAACTTTGGGGAGAATGCCAACCGGGGGTAAATGGGCTGCAGAGTTCTTACATGTCTCTACCCTTGTAGTGTATCTGGGGTTGGGGTGCTGTCTTTAGAAGAGAATCCCAAGTGGTGTTAAAGATTAAAAGATAGTCACAATGTGATGTAAAAAAGCAAAAGGAGGGAAATAGCCTACGTCCAGCGTTGGGGAAATAGTTAATATATGGTATATCCACAGGTAGAATAGTATATCTCCATTGAAATCATGTTTTCAGTAATTATTAATTAAAATAATTTTTGTTAAACTCTGGTCGTAACACTGTTGCAGTAAAATCCTGATTTGAACAGTCATTTATAAAGATACGTATTTACAAGAAAAACAGCGGGTAGTGTAACTAGCTAATCTGTTAAAAATTTTATGTACTTTCCCATTTCCCAAGATTCCTACATTGAATATTTTTAAGTCATAATAAAAATACTTCATTTTGGAAAGGTAGGGAGAGGCTCACCTCTCCTCACATCCTCACCCGTGACCCCCAGCAAACCCACGGCACTCAGGTTTGAGTTAAGAACAGAGTGAAGGGCTCCTGGGTGGCTCAGTTGGTTAAGCGACTGCCTTCGGCTCAGGTCATAATCCTGGAGTCCCTGGATCAAGTCCCGCATCAGGCTCCCTGCTCAGCAGGGAGTCTGCTTCTCCCTCTGACCCTCCCCCCTCTCATGTGCTCTCTCTCTCTCACTCTCTCTCTCAAATAAATAAATAAAATCTTTAAAAAAAAAAAAAAAAAGAACAGAGTGAAGATGGCCAAGCAAACTCAGTGGCGTGTACTTCTGCATACTTCAGCAGACACTTTTCTGAGCGTTACGGCTGTGGTTCTAAAATGTCCTGATTAGAAGCTTAGAGGCAAGAAACCTTTGAGTAGGAAGATGGTGCCAACTTTACCTAAGGATCTCAGTATTTTTTCAGCCTTGCACACCTGAAGCACCTACAAATTCACCAGTGTGAGTGGTTTATTATTAGTGACTTGCCATCAGTGGGGTGCAGGAAGGTTATGTGTTGTTTGAAATAGGCCTTCTGCCACCACCTCAGACATGCCTGGATGAGGTCATGGTTGAGTTGTACTTGACCCAGTAGTTAGGAAGGAGAGGATTTTATCTGCTGTTTGGTAGATGGAGAGCAGGGTTTGTTTAACTTTTTATCATAGAAAATTTCAGGCACTTTCAAAGGAAGTACAGTAGTATAAGAAGCCCCCATGCCCTTTTCCCAGCTTTGTTATCAACATTCTGCCATTCTTGTGTCATCTGAGCCTCGGCCAAACTCCCTGCCCCATCTCTGTGATGATTGCCGTCATCACTGCAGTTCTATTTTAGGTAAACTTTGTAGACATTGAAGTGAGCAAATCCTAGCCATACATTTTGACCAGTGAATAACCCAAGTATCATGACCCTGTTGCGACCTAAAATGTGCCCATCTCCCCAGAAATTTCCCTTGGGCTCCTTCTCAGTCATTCTGGGTTTGGAGGGCTTTGTTTGTTTCGGTATTCTCAGAGTGCTTAAATTGTGTGCATGCATGTGTGTGGTCACCTCATTGATTGTGTGAACTGAAAAACATCAGAGAAGAAAGCACTGTTCTTTGTCTCAAAATAACAGGGTACAAAACTTTGACCTTGAAACTCACCCAGACTGTCTATTTGTTTACTTACTCAGATGAATAGATCTTGTCAGGTGGAGGGCTAGGGAGCATCTAACAGATTCTGCATTTGGAGTTACTGGAATTTAAAATGTCTTTTTTTTTTTTTTTCCTTTTATAAGAATCCTCGCAAGGCTCGGGTCACACGACGTTTCATTGTAGTGGAAGGGCTGTATATGAACACTGGAACTCTTTGTCCTCTTCCAGAACTGGTAAGCAACCACGTTTACTCAGTATTTTAGGACTTGGACCATGGGGCAACTATGCTATTTGTTTATGAGCACTTCTATTTTTTTCTTTTTTCTTTTTTTTTATTATGTTAGTCTCTATACAGTAGATCATTAGTTTTTGATGTGTTCCATGATTCATTGTTTGCGTATAACACCCAGTGCTCCATGCAATACCTGCCCTCCTTAATACTCATCACCAGGCTAACCCACCCCCACACCCCTCTCCCCTCTAAAACCCTCAGTTTGTTTCCCCGGAGTCCATAGTCTCTCATGGTTCATCTCCCCCTCCGATTTCCCCCCTTCATTTTTCCCTTCCTTCTCCTAATCTCCTCCATGCTATTCCTTATGTTCCACAAATAAGTGAAACCATATGATAATTGACTTTCTCTGCTTGACTTATTTCACTTAGCATAATCTCCTCCAGTCCCATCCATGTTGATGCATATCGTGGGTATTCATCCTTTCTGATGGCTGAGTAATATTCCGTTGTATACATGAACCACATCTTTTTTATCCATTCATCTGTCAAAGGATATCTCGGTTCCTTCCACAGTTTGGCTATTGTGGACATCACTGCTATGAACATTGGGGTGCATGTGGCCCTTCTTTTCACTACATCTGTATCTTGGGGGTAAATACCCAGTAGTGCAATTGCTGGGTCGTAGGGTAGCTCTATTTTTAACTTTTTGAGGAACCTCCACACTGTTTTCCAAAGTGGCCGTACCAACTTGCATTCCCACCAACAGTGTAAGAGGGTTCCCCTTTCTGCACAACCTCTCCAACATTTGTTGTTTCTTGCCTTGTCAATTTTTGCCATTCTAACTGGTATACGGTGGTATCTCAGTGTGGTTTTGATTTGAATTTCCCTGATGGCTAATGATGATGAACATTTTTTCATGTGTCTGTTAGCCATTTGTATGTCTTCTTTGGAGAAGTGTCTGTTCTATGTGCACTTTTTTTTTTAAGTTTTTTTTTTTTTTTTAAGATTTTATTTATTTACTTGAGAGAGAGAGCACATGAGAGGGGGGAGGGTCAGAGGGAGAAGCAGACTCCCTGGCGAGCAGGGAGCCCGATGCGGGACTCGATCCAGGGACTCCAGGATCATGACCTGAGCCAAAGGCAGTCGCTTAACCAACTGAGCCACCGAGGCGCCCCTATGTGCACTTCTAATGTCTAACGTCTGCATTGCTTTGCACAACAGGTACCATAAGTACATTCTGACTGTATCAGGAAAGTAAATTAACATTACATGCCGACCCTGGTCTTTAAAGAATAATCAAGGCTCAGCTTTTTAAAACCAACTTTATTGAGGTATAATTGACATACAAATAAAATACATTTAAGTGTACAGTTTTTTTGTTTAAAGATTTTTATTTTATTTGAGAACAAAAGAAAGCACAAGCGGTGGGGAGGGGCAGAGGGAAAGGGAGAAGCAAGGAGCCTGACAGGGGGGCTCAATCTGAGGACCATGAGATTATGACCTGAGCAAAAGACAGATGCTTAACCAACTGAGCCACCCAGGTGGCCCAAAACAGCTTTTTTAACAGGAAAAGCAATATACTGTTTTTAGAAACCATGACTGTTGCGATTTCTTTTTCATGGAGGTGAAGTTCACATAAGGTAAAATTAGCCATTTTAGAGAGTACGGTTCTGGCATTTAGCACAGGCACCGTGTTACACAACCAGCAACTATCTGGTTTTCTCCCCAGTAAGACCCCTGCCCAACTAAGCAGTCACTCCCCATTTTCCCCTGCCTGTAGCCCCTAGCAACCACCAATCTGCTTTCTGTCTCTATGGATTTACCTATTCTGGATATTCCTGATAAATGGCATCGTATCATCTATGACCTTTTGTATCTGGCTTCCTCTGCTTCCCATGTTTTCGTAGTTCATCCAGTTCGTAGCAAGTATCAGTCCTTCATTCTCTTTTAATGCCAAGCCATAGTCCCTCGTGTGGACGTGTTGCATTGTTGATCTGTTGATGGAGATTTGGATTGTTCCGCTTTCTGGCTGTTGTTGTAAGTTGCCATGAACGTTTGTGTACAAGTCTTTGTTTGAATCCCTGTTTTCAGTTTTTCTGTATATATTCCTGGCCGTACAATTGCTGGATCGAATGGTAAATCTGTGTTTAACTTACTGAGGAACTGCCAGACTTTTTTTTCCCCAGTGGCTGCACCATTTTACATCCCCACCAGCAACAGGGAGGGTTCCAGTTCTCTACTGCCTCACCAGCACTCAGTTGTTTTTGTCAATTTCTCCCACCCTGGTAGGTGTGAAGCACGTGGTTTTTATTTGCATTTCCCAAAAGACTAATGATGTTGAGCCTCTTTTCCTGTATTTGTTGGCCATTTGTATATCTTTGAAGAAATGTCTTTAGAAGTCTTTTGCCCATTTTTTAAATTGGGTTGTCTTTTTCTTGTTAAGTTCTTTACATGTTTTGGATTCTAGACCCTCACCAGGTTCATGATTTGCAAATATTTTCTCCAATTCTATAGGTTGTCTTGTCATTTCTTTGATTGGTGTCCTTTGATGCACTGAAGTTTTTAATTTTGATGAAGTCTAATTTATCTAGTTTTTTGTTGTTGCTTGTGCTTTTGGTGTCATATCTAAGAAATTTGTTGTCAAATCCAGAGTCATGAAGATAATACCGCTATGTTTTCTTCTAAGAGTTTTATAGTTTTAGCTTTGTTTTAGGTATCTAATCCATTTTGGTTTTTTGTTTGTTTGTTTTAAGATTTTATTTATTTATTTGAGAGAGAGAGCACAGAGGGAGAGTGAGAGGCAGAAGCAGACTCCCCGCTTGAGCAGAGAGCCTGATGCTGGGTTCGATCCCAGGACCCTGAGATCATGACCTGAGCTGAAGGCAGACGCCTAACCAACTGAGCCACCCAGGTGCCCCCTCTGATCCATTTTGACTTAATTTTTGTATGTGCTGTGAGGGATATGTCCACTTTCATTCTTTTGCATGTGGTTTCAGGTTGTCCCTGTACCATTTGTTGAAGACACTGTTGTTTTCCACTGAATGGTCCTAGTCCATTGATCATAGAGAGATGGGCTATATTTCAGGACTCGAGTCTGTTCCATGTGTCTGTATGTCTAGCCTTATGCCAGTATCATACCATCTCAATTACTGTAGCTTTATAGTAAATTTTGAAATCAAGACATGTGAGTTCTGGGGCGCCTGGGTGGCTCAGTTGTTGGGTGTCTGCCTTCGGCTCGGGTCATGGTCCCGGGGTCCTGGGATCGAGCCCTGCATCAGGCTCTCTGCTCGGCAGGGGGCCTGCTTCTCCCTCTCTCACTCCCCCTGCTTGTGTTCCCTCTCTCTCTGTATCTCTCTCTGTCAAAAAAAAAAAATCTTTAAAAAAAAAAAAAAAAAAAAGACATGTGAGTTCTCCACCTTTGTTCTTTTTTAAGATTGGTTATTTGGGGTCCCTGGAGATTCCATTTGAAGTTTAGGATCAACTTTTCTATTTGTGTTAAAAAAAAAAAAAATGCCATTGAAATTTGGATAGGGATTGTATTGAATCAGGATTGTATTGAATCTGTAGATTGCTTTAGGAAGTATTTCCATCTTAATGATATTAAGTCTGAATCCATGAACACAGAAGTATTTCCATTTATTTAGATCTTCTTTAATTTCTTTCAGTAGTGTTTTGTGGTTTTCACTGTACAGGTCTGACATCTCTTTGGTTAAATTCATTCCTAAGTATTTTATTCTTTTTGATGATGTTACAAATGGACTTGTTTTAGGGGTTGTTAACTGCTAGTTTATAGAAATACAACTGATTTTGAGGGGTTTCTTATTTTTTATTTTTATTATTTTTTTAAGATTTTATTTTTAATGTAACCTCTACACCCAACATGGGGGCTCAAACTCACAACCCCTGAGATCAACTACATGCTCCACCAGCTGAGCCAGGCAGGCACCCCTGATTTTGTGTATCATGGAATATTCTATATATAAACTCCTGTAATCTATGAATAGAGATAGTTTTATTTACTTCTTCCTTTCCAATTTGGATGTCTTTTATTTCTTTTTCTTTCCTGATTGTTCTGGCTAGAACCTCCCATACAGTGTTGACTAGGAGTGGCAAGAGGGGGAAGCTTTTCAGGCTGCCACCGTTGAGTATGATATTAGCTGTGTGTTTTCCATCAATGCCCTTCATCAGGTTGAGGAGGTTCCCCCCACTCCTCGTCCTAATATGTTGAGGTTTGGATTTTGTCAAATGCTTTTTCTGTATCAGTTGATGAAATGATCATGTGTTTTCCTTCAACCTATTAATATAGTTGATTTTTCTATGTTGAACCACCCTTGCATTCAGCCACTGAATCTTGAATCTGTGAGTTCATCAATTGAATGAAGATTCAGAATAAGGATTTCATATCTTGTTTTTGAAGTTTTTCACTGTTCCTTGAGGAAGTCTAAATACATCTTAAATATCACTGAAAGAGATATATTTGTTTTCCTCTTCTTCTTATTTTCATGTCAAAGACTGATAGAAGCATATGGGGGTGATAGTGGGCCAGAAGATACCAGAATTGCATATTTAGGACTATGATAGTAAAACAGTACCGGTGGACAGATAATACAGCCAAGCCATGAAACAAAATATAAAGTGTAAGGAACAGATCAAGTATATATTAGCATTGAGTATGTAAAGATTACAGAATACAAATTAGGGTTTGACTTTGGGATTTCTGTTTTGTTTCACTGATTGTCTATTTGTGTACCAGTACTGTCATAATATTATTAAAAATTTTCTAAAACATGATTTTTAAAAAAAATCTCATTCCTATAATGTTTCATACATATTATTGGATGGAAAACAGTGTTGAAAAGATAGACTTCTCCCCAAATTAGCTTATTCATTATTAATAAAAATCCATATAAATTTAGTGGTTGATAATCACTGTACTTTAATTCACTTGTGATACTGATCACGTTCATACCATTTAGGGATAATTCAATTAAACATTGAGGGAGGAAGCTGTATACAGGCTTGCATATGTTCAGTTTCCCACTGTGTAAACAAAAAAGTAACATGAAATAATTAGAAGAACCTAAGATAAATATACATCTAAACCTTTGCTGGGAAAAGACTTTCTTATAAGACCAAAAGCAAAGAGAAAAACAGATTGAAAAGCATATTAATGAAAGCTTTTTCTGAATTAAAAAAATTCCATGAATTCAAATTAAAACACAGTGCCACTGAGGGAAGAACGATACACATTTTCTCAGGAGTTTTATGTATAATCAAACCAGTATTTAACAGAGATTACATGTCGTCATTCGTATCTTAATATTTCCATCTTTAAAAATTGGCATTGTGCTGTCTACATTATTGAGTTAAGGTCAGAGCATCTGAAGTACAGCCTCTCTTCGTCCTCATGGTTCCGTTGACCATTGAACAATGCAGGGCTTGGGGCACTGACTCCCCATGCAGTTCAAAGTCCACATAACTCTTGATTCCCCAAAAACTGAACTACTAATAGTCTCCTGTTAATTAGAAACCCTATCCATAACATAAACAGCTGATGAACACATATTTTGTCGGTCATATGTATTCTACATCCTTAAAGTAAGCTAGAGAAAAGAAGATGTTAAGAAAATCGTAAAGAAGGAAAAATACATGTACAGTGCTGGACTGTCTTTATTGAAAAAAATCCACATCTCAGCAGACCTGTGCGGTTCAAACCTGTGTTGTTCAAGGGCCACCTGTAGTTATGTTCTAGAAAGTGCACGTACATAGTTATGGGCTGTAAGTTTACAGGCTGTAAATACTGAACTATGGCTCCTAGGGCAAATGTAGTTTGTTCTCTGCAAGCCTCTGGTCACAGCATTTTCATCAGTCGCTCAGTACCTAACCTCGTTTTACGTGTTTTTTGTTCAAAGACATTTTATTTAACACATATTGGGGAGTTTTTTTGTTTCTATTATTATTTTTTTAAAGATTTTATTTGTGAGAGAGAGAGCACAAGCAGGGGGAGGGGCAAAGGGAGAAGCAGGCTTCCCACTGATCAGGGAGCCTGACGTGGGGCTCAATCCCAGGACCCTGGGATCATGACCTGAGCTGAAGGCAGACGCTTAACTGACTGAGCCACCCAGGCACCCCAATTTAACGCATAGTGTCGATTCATTCACATTGAGCTCAGGGCCGTCAGCGCTGTAGCTCATGCCTGAAATACAGCTGATCTAACACAACTGTTGTCTCTGTAAGACACATCGTAGCCGTCTGGCACTTAAGAACGCTAGACGGCACTTCAACGCTGTGCTTGGGGCCCTCCTAAACAAAATCGCCAGCAGAGAGCACAAAATGCAAAAAACATGGTAATAAAGAAGCCCTGAAGGACACTTGTTTACAGTATGAGCTGAAGGACTAGTCAGACTTAGCTGGGAATGTGCAAGGATTTTGCCCCTCTACACTATGCCGTGTGTGATGATTGCAGAGAGACTTTAGCAGGTGGGCAGATGCACAAGTACAAATCCACCAGTACTGAGGATCAACTGTACATGCTTTTTTTTTTTTCTTCTTATTTTAGGTTTAGGTTTAGGTTTGTTCTTCCCAATATATTCTCTGGTGTGCTAATCATCAGTAGTTTAAAGTTGTGTTTTGTTTACCACTTAGGTTAAGTTAAAATACAAATACAAAGCAAGAATCTTTCTGGAGGAAAGCCTTTCGTTCGGAGTCCTGGGGGAGCATGGTCGAGGAGTCACTGAACATTTCGGAATCAGTGTAAGTTCTCCTACTCCAGGACATTTCCTTGTATAGAAAACACGCAGTCCCATCGTGCCGGACACGTCTCATGGGCACAGGACGGCGTTCCTCATCAATGTGCAGGGCCATGCGGCTTTGGGGGGTGTCATTTCGCTGAGCCCCTGGAGGATCAGGTCAGCCAGACCACAGGCCTGTCTTCCTTCAAAACCTGTAAACTCACAGTGGCTACTCAACAGAATTGTGGTCTGTTTACTTGGTAGCATTTGACCTTGGCTTTCAATATCTCTCCTCTAGAAATGTGTTTTTCTTAAAATCAGTAAGAAGTCCCTAAATTAGTCCTTTAGAAAATATTATGATGGCAGTGAATGTTGTTCTTTCTAGTATTTATAGTTCTGAGTCCTCTGTTATTTCTGTGTATGGGGTGTTAGACAGTCATGACTTCTTTAGAGAGAGAGTCAGAAACAATGCTGGCACAGGTTATGCAAAGCCTCAAGGTTCCAGACAACTGGAATGACTTGGTCATGTGTTCTCTTGCTGATGGGAAATGAGCCCCAACGGCCCCCAGTCTTAATGGTTTGTGCCCCTGGAGCCTGTCAGGGAGGAGCAACGTCAGCCTGTTCACAGGACCTGCCTTCACCCACCACCGGGTAACCTGTTGAACTGAAGGGAATTTTTCTGCAAATCCTGTGCATAATAGTTTTGCAACCTATGTTAAAAAAGTTGAACTAAAGAACATGAAAATCACCTTAGATTATCTATATCCCACTACCAATATGGTCCAGAGAAAAATGGAGAGCAGAACAAATATCACAAGAAGTTAGACCGACACATACTCCTCAAAGACAGACTGACATTTGGTGAAAAGTGCAGAATATATGGACCTTATTTGGATCCTGATTCCAGCAAATACTACGGAAAACAAGCTTTGTGAGACAGATATTTGAACACAATATTTGATGATATTAAGAAATTTTTCATTTTTTAGGTGTGATAATAGTTTTGTGATTGTGTTTTTGAAAGTGTCCATATCCTTTAGAAATGCACACTGAAATACTTATAGATGAAACCATAGGAAGTCTGGGATTTGCTCCAAAGAAATAATGAGGGCAGCAGGGAGCTATACAAGGTAATGGATTGTCCATGAGCTGATAATTACTGAATCTGGTGATGAGAATTGTTTACTCTGTTCTCTCTACTTTTCTATATGACTGAAATTTTTCGTAATACAAGGTTTTTTTAAAAAAGAGTGCACAGATTTCCTTGTTGGGTCTGTGGACCATTTAGAAACCCCCAGCTGGGCTTAGACCAGTTGTCATCACGGCCATCAGTAAGTGATTTTGAATGGCTGCTGTGTGCCCAGGATGCACTTGGTGCTGGTGCTGGTGCTGGAGCTGGAACCAGTGCCAGTGCCGGTGCTGGAGCTGGTGCTGGTGCAGAAGGTGAGGGTCAGCGGAGCACTGAGTTGAGAAGATGGGCAGGACTCAGAAGCCCACGGGTACACAGTAATTGATTTTATTTTTGAAAAGTTGAAAGGTAAATTGAATGTAGGGATAAAAATGCTCAAAACTCCGATAGATTTGTTTGTATTTCTCTCAAGTACCTTCTGGGGGAAGGCCAGCTGGACACTGTTTAAGCAAGGAAAAGATCTTATTTTGTACCTCTGAATATTTTTAGTATGAGGCAGTTTTGGATTTCATTTTCTTTTAATTTCTCTCTCTCCTACCACTGTGAGTAAATTGTGTGTGCATGATGAAATCGCCAGAAAGTGTAAAGTGAGACCCTTTCAGAGGTGCACTTTGACACATCTGTCCTTGTAGCGATAAATTTTGTTTGGTTTACCCTTTACTTGCATGTAGGTAGTGTGTTTGAACTGAGATGTTGACACGATCAGGGCTGAAATTTTGTCTGCAGGCTTGACAGGTTTTTTATTTTTTCTTTAAATTGAGGAATAACTACTACTGTCCCACTTTTTTGCAGATTGATGACATTGATCTTATCAGTGCCAACATGGAGAATTCCCTCGCTTCTATTGGAGGTTTCTGCTGTGGCCGATCTTTTGTGATTGACCATCAGGTGGGTTCATTTTGAAAAACAAAAGCAGAAACTGAAACCAGTCGTTCCACTGGTCATGCTAAGAAGTTACTCAGCATGTAACTTCCAATCACAGAATTTCATTCTGACCTAGTTTACCACAATTTTTATTTAAAAGTCGATCTGTTAGAATCACTCAGAATATTTACATTTGAAATTATCTCCCTTTTTAGAAAAGTCTTATTTGTGTTACAAGTATAACTTGTATACACGTGTGGATCTTACCACCTTACCATTTGTACACACTGTTTGGAGGTGTTGCAGATCTGGTGCCTTTAGATTTTTTAGCCAAAAAAAGAAGCATATTTATATCTTTAACTTGTTCGTTTCTTCTTAGCGACTTTCCGGCCAGGGGTACTGCTTTTCAGCTTCGTTACCCCCACTGTTGGCTGCCGCTGCAATCGAGGCTCTCAACATCATGGAGGAGAATCCAGGTATAATCTTCTGAACCCAGGACACCAGGCATCGCGGTGACGTCAGCCAGGCTGCTGGCGTGCTTTTGGAGTAATTAGCTGGAGGGAAAGTGTTGACCACACAGAGCTGTGCCTCTGAATGACATTACCTGGAGTTTATAGGGAGAATGGCAGTAAAGACATCGTCCTGCCTCAGGAATTCAGTGGAGAGCTTCTTTCCTCCCAGGAGACAAGCCAGAGCCAAAGTGGCGCTGGCTCCCAGGATGGGCGGCGATGCCAGGAGGAGGAGTCAGCTCTGGGCTGGCTAGTTGTCATTGGAGAAGTTAGCTGAAGTGTGCTGCTGATTCTCGGTACATATAATTTGTAGCTTATCCGGTTTTTTTCCTCAGCCTTTGACTCATGAGTTGGTACTAAAGCCAAACCCAGTTACCAACTGTTAAAGCTTCCTTAATGGGCCAGTTTGACTAAATTTCAAATGTGCCTTTTGGCTGGGGTAGCACTCCTCACAAAGCCTAAAACAGAAATGAAAAGCAAGCCTTACTTGGTATTTCTAAATTTAGAATTTTTAAAATTTCTAAATTCTTAACGGTTTTAATTCAGAGAATCAGGAAATGTGAATGTTTCTGGGTGCACATTCATATGCTTGCTTGTGAGAAGGCCTGGCACTCCTGCCTCTTGCTTAGATGTTTTAGTTTTTTAATTGTCCATGAATAAAGTGAAAATATCAAGGAAAAGGTAGTAAACATTACTGCAGTGTCTATCTTTTACCAAGTTGTTAAGGGTCCAGAAGTAAGTAATATATTTATACCCTTTTATTAGCCAGATTATTTGTAGAACCTGATGAGAACAAGAGCCATTGTTTTGTTGTGGAAAACCTCATCCCAGATTCTGCTGAAAGTGGGTGAGGAGCTGCCGGGACGTATGTGCTGAAGACCAGGGCTTGGGCCTTTGGAAGTGTTCCTGTCTGTGTGCTAGTAGTCTGTAGGAGGATTTACAACATTTTAAATTGATGAACTTGAACTTTAAAAATCTTTAAAAATATTTTTAGATTAGTAATATCAGATCTTCCAGATGTACTATCAAGTGCATTTCTTTTCATACAGGTATTTTTTTAGTGTTGAAGGAAAAGTGCGAACGAATTCATAAAGCTTTACAAGGGTAAGTTTTATATATTTTCAACCAACTTAAAGTTTATCTCTACCACATTTAAACAACTAGTGAAAAATTTTGAATATCACCTCTTTGGTTTTGAGTATATTTAATAGGCTTGGATCAGTTTGAATGAATTACAACTAAGAGAGGAAAAACTCTATTCAGTCAGATTTGTGTATGGGCTTGAAGCCAGAACATCCATTTTGTGGTTGAAGAACCATGACTGTTTTTCTAAAAAGAATACAAGCTCACCAGTAATATAGCTGTACCTACAGCACAAAACTTGCTACCACCAGAAGTAACTCGGGTGAGCATGGGAGAATCTCTCCACATCTGTACAGATAAAATGATACCATTATATGTTACGGAATTAGGTGACAGCGGGTTCATACTGGCCATACTCTTTAGAAAATTACTAAGTTTTATTTTAAATTAATATAAGAAAAACAGGTGAAACTGAAATGAACCTTTCGAGTTTTTACTTGTGTTTGTCTTAACTACACAAGAGTAGCTCTTTAAGATTCCTCTGGAATGGAGGAAAAATTCAGGTTGGTGACAGCTTCAGGCAGATTCCTGGTCTTACAGAAAGTGATCTCACGTTGCCCGAGGTATTTCCTTTTGCCTTACTTAAGGTGGAAATATGTCTTTTCAATCATAAAAGTCCTACCTATTGACAGATGTGGGAACTCGAAGCTTCTCTAAAGGACAAGGACAGTGAGTAAATTAGCAGATCACAGCTGTTCCAGATAAAGTAGGGGCAGAAATAATTAAAGTTCTGGGTGTGTCTACATGATAGTAACAAAAGTTCTTCTTGCATGATTTATGGTTAGGAGATATTATTTGTGTTGGTACCAGTTACTTTGGTTTATAAAATATTAATATGCCAACACAGTACAGCATGTTGGAGTCACTAAATTCAGGAACACCAACCTCAGGTGCCCTTCATTCTGTCTAGTGGTATTATTGTGTTCATCTTGTAAGCCCAGCCCTCCACCTTACCCACTCTTTCCCACCTTTCTCCCCTCCCAGGTCCCCAGCCCCCTGTCTGCACTCCACCCACTGTTAGCAAACAGCCTGGCTTCATTGCTGCCACTCGGATTCCCGCATCTTCCCTCACAAATCTGTATACACACAGGCATCTGAACCAGTCTTCCCTCAAGTTACAGCTGAAGAAATGCCTCCTGCCATCATAGCTCTTCCCCTTCAAGGGCCCAGCGCTTCTGGCTGTCTCTTCTCTTTTGTCACCCTCTCTGGAGTCATTTGATTAGCATTGAATACACTCCACCCTCTTGTCTCAACTGCTTCTTTCCCTTGAAGACCCCACCTTCTCCAGCTGCTAGCCAGTTGCCACTTCTCCTTGTAGCTGGTCTTCTCTGCAGTTTGCACTTTGTCCTCATGATCTGATATCCAGCAGTCCTTCCAAACTCCTTCTAGTGGTTTGTTTCATTCTGTTTATGACGCTATATATAAAAGTCCTATTTGAATAATGGTTCTCTCTTCCTTCCAGATTCTTAAACATCTTAGTAATTTTTCTTCTCTTATTGCATTGGTGTAGGTCGCTAACACGCTATTGACATCTTCTGTCATAGTAGTGATATACCTGTCATTCACAGTATAAAAGCATTTCTTCATTAAGTATGAAATATACTATAAGTTTTCTGTAGGTGGTATTTATCAAATTATTCCTAGATTTGGAGGCTTTTTTAAAAATCATAGATTTGTCTTATGCTGAATTACATTGTCATAATTTTTCTGGTGTTAACTTATTCTTGTATTCTGGAGTAAAACCCTATTTGATTACAGTATTTTTTTCTGCGCTGTTCTGCAGCCTGGTTTATTGAGAGGTCTTAGTAGGATACGTTACATTTAAGGAAAGGAGACATAAATTATAGCGCTCACTGGTGGTTTGAAAGGCAGGTGCAGTTGGCTTCTGGCACCTCACATGATGCTTGACACACAGTAGTCATTCAATAAAGCTTGGTGAATCCTAAATGTGCTTAAGGAATCAAATGTGCTACAAAGTGCTTTTTGTGCTAATTTCATTCTAAGGGAAAAGCACATCTTTCCAAGTGAAGCTAGCTAAACAGAAAAGCACATCTTTCCAAGTGAAGCTAGCTAAACAGAGGCATGTTTAGCTCAGGGGTGCCTTGGTGGCTCAGTTGGTTAAGTGTCTGCCTTCAGCTCAGGTCATGATCCCAGGGTCCTGGGGTTGAGCCCCATGTTGGGCTCCCTGCTCAGCGGGGAGTCTGCTTCTCCCTCTGCCTGCCACTTTCCCTGCTCGTGTGTGCATTCTTTCTCTCTCTCAAAAAGATAAAAGCTTTTTTTTTTTTAAAGATTTTATTTATTTATTTGAGAAAGAGAATGAGAGAGAGTGAGCACATGAGAGGGGGGAGGGTCAGAGAGAAGCAGACTCCCTGTTGAGCAGGGAGACCGATGTGGGACTCGATCCCGGGACTCCAGGATCATGACCTGAGCCGAAGGCAGTTGCTTAACCAACGGAGCCACCCAGGCACCCCCCCTTTTTTTTTTTTTAATTTTAAAAAATTAAAAAATGTTTAGCTCAATTTCAGATGGTCATATATCACCATTTATAGCCTAGGAGATGAGTTAAAAATCAAACTATTATTAGTATCAGATAAAAATGAACTTTAAGTGAACCTGACCTGCAGTTCTCTTGACATCTGTAGTAAGCATTTGAAAATACAGGATTTTACCCCTAAAGAAATTTCTCTCCCTCCCTGAGAAGCTGCAGATGTCTGTGCTGTTAAATCCTAAGAACAATGAAAATAGTCATAATTCAAGTAAAACTTAACAGAAAACATGCAAATAAGAAGGGAACTATACAATCTAAACATACTTCTGATGGTCAGAATGCAATGTTTTTAATTAATATCAGAATTCATCCCTATAATTTATGGAAAACAAGATACAGCTAAAGACTGAGATAATAAACAAGGGAACATTATCAATAGTAAGTAGTCATGAAGGAAACAGTAGTAGGAAACAATGGTGTAGACGCTTCCCTAGAGGAGTGATTTGGGAGGGAAGCCCCAGGAGGTGGTCCTCAGGCTGGGACCTGGCTTGTTGACCAGCTGCAGAACACAGGGAGAGGGGCAGATGAGGAGGGGGCCTGCAGGCCAGAGAGGAGGGAGCAGCCTGCAGGTGTGAGCCAGAGGTGTCCGTGAGGACACGGAACTGCCTTGCAGCCACACTCACAGAGTGGCCCTGCAGGCGCATCCTAGACTAGCGACCCCTGCCCAAAGCATGGATTTCAGCTGTCTCTGTCAGGATTGGAGCCACCACATGATGCTTCCCTGGAAAAGCCACAAGCTTCTGTTCCATTGATTAATGCAGACTTTGTACAGTTACTTAGATGTGGGATATCCTTGCACCTGGAAGGGACTTACGCTTGCATGTGTGTTTGCTTTCAGCATCTCTGGGTTAAAAGTGGTGGGGGAGTCCCTTTCTCCAGCATTTCACCTGCAGCTAACAGACAGCACTGGGTCTCGAGAAAAAGACGTTAAACTACTTCAGGAGATTGTAAATCACGTAAGTATGTAGTTCTTCTACCTTGAACCCACGCAGTGTTTAAATGTCTAAATGATTAGCCTTCCAGAAAACCCATTCGCTTAGCATGTCCAAAGCCAGGCTTTCATACATGTAGGTGGGGTGGCATTATGAGTCACAATCCCACAGAGCACTGGACAGCTGTCTGGGCTGAACCCCCAAAATAGCTCAGAGACAGGTCAAGATATTCTTGTAACCAGAAAGGAAGAAAGACCACTCCTTTACCAGGCCTGATTTGGAGGTTGACTTAAATATCTTTATCTCCTGAGAGTGATTTTACTAGTAATTGTAACTTAGTTATTAACTGAGAAATGCCTCTCCGGGGAAGACTGCTTGCCCTTCTTTGCTCAGTAGAGCTGGTTTCCTGGAACCCTGCCCCACTCACTTGCCTCCATGCAGCACCCCGCTCCCCCTCCACCTCACAGAGGAACAGAAGTGGCCGTGCAGCCCCTTGAGCAAGCCTGCTGAGGTGGCCCTGCGTTTACCTGACTCTTCAGTGCAGCTAGCATGCATTTGAGAATGGAAGCAGGCTTCGTTCTGCCTCCCTGTGCTGCTTGTCCTGATGGTTCCTTCCAGGGGCCTCTGCTCTGAGGCCGTGCCACTGGGCGTCAGGGTGATGGCTGTCCTCTGCTGTGAGCCTTTGCCCTGCGGTGGCCAGGGGGTCAGGCCTGTCTCCCTGGTCACGTGGCTGCTCAGTATGGAGACCAAGGGTGACACCACCCTCTGCTTCCCAGCTTGCTTTAGCTGTACTGTGTCCTACACTGTGAACCACATCACCTGGAAGGATGGATCATGGAGAGCTTCATGCAGTTTGTGGCCTTCTGGAGTCAGTCATCTCATAAAACAAAACCAAACGCAGAATCTGAGATTCCTAAGTAAGGAAATGTGTGCGATTATGAGCAGTCGGGCTTCACTGACTCTCACCTTCCAAGTGCAGAGGTGCCACAGGTGTCCCCTTGGGTACAGCTCTGCAAGCATGAAAAAGACTCCCTCTCAAGGGAAGAAACATCCCAGAGGCACCTTTTACCACCTCGGCACTTGTACTGTTGAGGTCACGTGAGTGTATACAGACGTAAAACAAAGTACAGCATCCTTGGGGTTAGGGTTCTGATACAGATGTGGCACCAAAACAGTTTATAAATTAGATGCAAGCTAAATGGACACGGCAGTAAGAGCTGTCACACTGGCTTCGTGTGACCGCTGAGCTTGTGTGCTAAGCAGATTGTCCATTGGGGTGCCCGACACCGACTGCTGCAGGGCATCCTCTCGGAGCCGCAGGCCCCGTCACCGCAGCCCCCTCCAGCCCCCCTCGGGATGGCGCTCTGCACCGGCTCCACGCCGCGGGACGTGGGCCGTCCCTGCCGCCAGAGCGTTCATGCCACGTGAGAACCCCCTTGGTTCTTCCCTCGAGAGATCACAGCAGTCGGGTCTTCCTTCTACTTGTGCCAGAGACACTGCCGAGGGCAAGCGAGAGAAGCATGGGATACGTGGGCCACACGTGTCTTGTCTTCAGAACGGAAGAGAAGGCAAGAGTCTGCACAACTCACGGATGCCAGACTCCGTCTGAGGCCCCAGCCCGAGGCCGGCTCTCTCCAAGACATCCTCATGAGATTCCTCATGAGATCCCTCATGAATCAGGGAGCAGGGCCTCAGGGGAGGGACAAAATACAGTCTGGAAACTGCCTTTATGCACAAAAGAGCGGTCCTGCAGTGTCTTTGCGTCCTCATCTCGAGCTCTGGTGCACTGCCTCGTCAGTATTGGAGAGAGAGGAGACAGCTGTGGTGCGGACTGTCACATGAGCTTTGCACAACGCAGAGCCTTTGCCAAGTGCTTGTTCAGTTGCTTGACAAGACACTGTTTTTACAAACTGAACGATGGTTTATAATGTTTCTTAGCTAGCCAGGGCTAGGAACAGAGCCAGTCCAGATGTGTTCAGGAGTTAACTCCTCCGAGTATACTGCAGATGGAGCATGAGTGGGAGTCTGCCATGTTGCCTGCTGGTGGTTTCCGTCAGGCGTGCAGCAGCGCACAGCCTGCCTGGCGGCGGACAGCGAGGCCCCTCTTTGGGCAGATACCCTCACTGCCCAGCCCTGGGAGTGCTTGCTCCTTCCTTTATCAGTCCCCTGGCTCTGACTGATGCTTTTTTAAATATAACGCACAGACCAGAAAATTCACCCTTTTAAAATAACACAGCTGAGTGATTTTGAGTACACTCACAAGGTTGTACATCACCTCATTCCAGAACATTTTCATCACCCAAAAAGAAACCCTGATAAACCGTGACTTCAATCTGATTTTCATACTTTATTTTGTTAGAGCATGTTTGAACTTTTAAAAAAATACTGACAAGTGGTTAAGGTATGAAAAAGCTATGCAAAAAATGGGTGACACCATACTCTTCTGGCCTGGTAACACCTGCTCTAAGGGAGCACATGGAAATCAGGAATGGCTCATATATGAAGTGTGAGCAGTTTGTCTCTGAAACCGTTCACCTGGTGTTACTATTAAGTCCAACTTTTGGTTCATTTCTGGGGCTTTGCTGGGACTATTTCCCCATGTCCTCCTTCTACTTTGTTTAAAATGGAAATTCCTAGCTCCCTGTGCCTATTTAAATTGAGTAAAATTAAAAGTTGAGTCTCTCGGTGGCAGTAGCCCTGTCTCACGGTGCTGGACAGCCACATGGCTCACGGCGGTGCCCTGGGTGGTCCAGAGTGGAGGGCGCCACCGCAGGGCAGTCATGTCGCTTGGGGCTGCTCGGGACGGGGTCCTGGTATTGCCATTTTGCCTTCTCACAGTTGTAACTGGAAAAATGAATGCATGCTGTGGTTAAGGATAGCATTTCAAGTACCTTCCTGTTGTAATGAGCACAGTGTCCACAGCCCAGCTTGCAAACGTGTCCCTCTTCTTCATACAGTGCATGGACAAAAGCATCGCATTAACCCAGGCACGCTACCTGGAGAAAGAAGAGAAGTGCCTCCCTCCTCCAAGGTTGGTGGACGTTAAACTGTGACCTGACTTGTTTTTCCTACTTTCAGAACTCTGTATAAAATGTATTCTATTCCAAAAATGTTTGAAAGACTATCACGGGATAAGAAGAATGTGTACTATAGTACATCATCTGTTTTCTATTCTTAAACTGGCCATTTTTTAATTTGTAACTGTAAAGCACCCCCCCTACCCCAGGACTCACTGCACACTCCCAGTTAACTCAAAGAAGTGTGTGAGACCCTAGGACTGAGCTGGGACAGCCGAAGTTCTGATCCGCAGAGGTCTACCACGACCCTAAGCTGCACGCGCTGTGCTGGCCATGTCTGCCGTGAGGGCCGTCCTGTGGGAGGGGCACATCCAGACGGTGGTGTTGACCCCACTGCTGGCTGGAGCGCCCTGTGGTACTTCACCTGGCAAACACATATAAACCACCCAGGGAAAAACAGACCAACAGTGGGGAAGATCTAGAGAGGTTCAAGAAGCCGTACATGGGAGAGCACTTGGACTCTTGATTTAAAATTGGTGCTCATTCATTGGCACTTCAAGTATAGTCAAAGGAGGTAGACACCCAGAGCACGAAGTGCTTAGGGTCAAAGCACAAGGTCGGTGAGGTCAGAGGAGGAGGGCATGGTTCATTCTGACCTGGAAGGGACTCAGGCTTCCCAGAGTAGGTGATGCTCAAGCCAAACCCGAAAGATCAAGTATGTCAGACAGACTTGTCAGTACCACCTTCTAGCAGGGTGTGCAGTGGTATGGAGACCCTCAAGTGCATCTGGGGGGCCAGAGCACTAGCTTGAGAGGGGCAAGTGAGAGGACCCTGGAGAACGGGGAAAGCCCAGGGGGTCCGGGAAGACTCTGGAGTCCAGAGCACTGTGCGGACACGGAGGGCCAGACTGGGATTCTGGAAGACCACTGGCAGCAGCTCGGAAGCGCCCTAAAGATCCTGCCCTCTCATGTCTGATTGCACCCAGGCAAAGCTGTGAGCCTCTGTTTCAGAACAGGGGCCACACTTGCTTTGTACCCTCGGGGCTCCCTGCCCAGCACAGCACAGCTCTGCAAGTGTCCAGTGGATGATACAGATGTTTGCAGAGGGAAGTAAGTAGGGGAGAAGAGGTAGAAGTGCCCTGTCAAACTGATAGTTTTGGTCTTCGGTTTCCTGAAAACTTAAAAATGTCTGCCTTGCCTCAAGTATTACAGAACTTCCGCATGACTTACTGAATTGTAAATGAGCTCGGGCATGCAGACGCTCCTTGATTTGAGACATGTTGAATTCCAGCTTCAGGCCTGGTGTTGCTCGGAGCAGTAGATGATGTAAAGGGCGGGGTTCCTGGCACCCCTGGGCAGAGCCCCACCACAGGCTTCCCTAACTAGATGCACCACCAGTCGGGCCAGGAGTGGCAGATTTCTGTAACTGGCCAGTCCGTGTCCACACTTGACTCCGCTGCGCAGTGAGGAAGTGGCTGTAGACAGTAGACCCACTAATGAGTGGGGCCATGTACCAGTAGAACTTGACTTACAAAAACAGGTGCCCTAGACTCTCCTTTGACGATTTTCTGTGTCGTTATTTCTCAGCATTAGGGTTGTGGTCACAGTGGAGCAAACAGACGAAGAACTGGAGAGAGCCGCGCGCACAATCAAGGAGGTGGCCCAGGCTGTGTTGCTCTAGGCCGGGTCCTAGGGCCAGGCGGGCAGCCGCCACGCGGCACACGCACAGGCCTCTGCGTCACTGCCTTGTGACCTGGGAGAGGCCTGCGGGTACCTGGAGGGGTGGCCACCGGGCGTGGGCGTGGACTTGGCGCCCCACCACGAGGAGGATGCTGGTTATTTTTAAAAAGAAAACACATCTAAAAGCCCAGGGACTGATTTTTTTTTTAAGAAGAAAACTAGTGACAGCATATAACTGGTATTTAAATTGTGCTATTTAGTACTATTTAAATGTTTTATTATACTAGTATTTTATATTCTTTTTTTGTTGTTTAAAAATGGAGCTTCAGTTTATCTTCTCTCCCTCCAATAGTAAAGAGCGTGCAAGCACTCCTTAACATTTCCTAGAATAACGTCTCTGCAGCATTAGAGCTTGGAGGAACAACACCTCACTGTCTAGGACACAAAACCTATTCTCAAGGGTCTAATTCAACCGCATCTTTTCAGCCTTCGTCCTGTGCAGCTCAGTGGTGGCTAGTATATAAGGGAACACTTTTTGTGCGATTATGATAAACTTTTCATTGTAATATATTTGAATCCTAGAATTTTTATACACACTAAATATTGATGTTACACCATTTCTAATAGCTAATCTTAACATACCTAACTGGAGAATGAGTACTCATTGTATTTCCCAAGTGATCAATAATTTAAATCAAATACTACTTTATTTTGATATAATTGACCTTCACATTTATTACGTGTTGATTTCTGATCTGTTTTAGGAAGAGGGTTACTGTGATGTTCCTAGACTAGAAATCATGTCCTTGATATTTTAGAATATCTTGAATGTATTCCCTTTTTGTGGAGTGGTTTGCCTAAGGATATATAACTAGAGTCTTTTTATAAGCTAAGGAAAATTACTTTTCCTTTTAGCTATGGATTTCAAATATCTAAAAATGTGAATGCACTAAAAATAAAGTTTTTAAGCTGTACTTTAGCTGTCTTTTTTTCCTTTAGCAAACCAGGTTCGGTGGTGTAAATGTTTGCGCTGGGTACCACAAGGTAGTGCGTAAACATTACACCATTGTTTCTTGTCTTAGTAAAGGTAAAGGAATAAAATTGTTTAAAAAATGTATAAGAATGCCATTTTTATAGTCTATGTTCCTATTAGCAAATGGTCTTCAACATCTTTTTAAATAACATATTTTTTAACATTCAGTTTCTGTTTTGCTTGAGGCACTTCATACATCCGTGCCTTGTGATTGCTGCTGCAAAGTACTCTCTTTGGGGGTGAATCTTTCTGCTTTATTTTTTAATGAAATAAACCTACATTCTTGATAATCAGTCTATTTGCATGTGTAATATATTCAACAGAACAGTCTCTTGATTTTAACTTTTCTGCATTTGTAGGATAGTATTCTTGGTGTCTGTGTTTAGAAAATACTAGTTAAATGTCATAGTGCCTTTCATCAGTGTATAGTGTCTGGAATTCTCTGGGTTCCTGCTGGTTGAGCCTGGGCCACTAAGCACAGATGCCTGAGCTGTTGTCATTAGCAAATGGTGATAGCAACTTTTCAGCTCTTTTCATATTTTCTGAGTCAACATTTCAACATATAGATACTCATTGCTACGTTTTAAAAATGACAGAAACTCCTGGAAAAATGGTGGAAACAACACACAGTGTTTAACTTCAGCCTTTGGGAACATCAGCATTTTCAACAACAAAAAACAAAACTAAAATCTTTCTATTAAAACTGCAGTGACCAACATCCAGTTATATACACCAGAAAAAATATATGCTAGGAATAACAAAATTGTATAAAGCTGAGGCAGAATGCTGAGAGAAAACTCCTCTCAAATCTGAAGCAGGGCACACATTTCTCTGAGAAACAGTGAGAAGGTTCTGGAGGGCTCTGTCCATGACCCGGCTGGGGCAGGCAGCACGGAAGCCATTTGGGGACTATTTTCACTCGGCACAGGTGCCCACAGGGGTAGGAAAAGCCAAGTGACTGCTCCCCTTCTGTTATCTACGGCTAGGTCCCAGCTCAGGAAATGTGGGGCTCTGGACAAGTTGGGACAGAAAAGAGAGCAGTATTTCAAAGCTAGAACTCCACAAATGGGACCATATGCATTTGTTTTATGTACCACTGAATGTAATGTGCCAGTTGTAGGATGCATTTCAATAACAGAAATATAATGTCTGTGGAAAAGGTGTGTCTTTAAATCTATGAAATAAGACCGTAATCATCGGATGTGCAGGCCTGACTCCCTCTTTCCTTGTGTACGTAAAACCTTAGTGTCCCGGAAGATAGAATGTGTGAGGACGATTATGGCTACCTACATTTCAGTTATCTCTGTCTTCCCAAAACACTGTCTTTATGAGAATATCAAATAAAATCATAACACATCTACAGTATGGATTATGCTGTAGAGAATACCTAAACTTCATTTTCCTACCTAGGGCCTTGTAAAGAGGAAAATGGGGTAGAAGGTTCAATAATAAAATGCCATCTCTGAAAAGCAACATACAAAGGAAAACAAGTGGAGCAACATTGTCAAGATTCAAGGGAAAAAGAAATATGAATCAAGTATCCAGAAAAGCAGTCTTTTCCCAAGTAAGTTGGTAGAAAAACAATTTAAAGTTAGAGCTCAGTATTGTGTTCATAAGCCCTTCCTGAGGAATCTGCTAAGGGACAGCTCCTTCTGATCAAGAAATAACTGGGGAAATGAGAATTAAAACAGTAAACTGAAAATAAAGAAGAAAGCAATAAAAGGAAGAATAGAGGTACAAAAATCAATATGAAACATAGCAAAACCCCAACCATATAGATAATTGCATTAGAACATAAATGGACAAAGCATTTCATTCAAAAGGCTGAGGTTGGCAGATTACATTTAAAAAAAATCATGCTGAGATACACTTCACAAAGACACAAATAAGTAGAAATTAAGGAGATGAAAAATATGCCATGTAATCAAGAACCATATGAGAGCTGGAGTGACTGGTATCAGTATTAGAAAAATAATGGACTTTTAAGACAAGAAGTATTACTACAAATAGAGACATTACAGAATGATAAAGGTGTCAATGCATAGTGAAAATATAACGATTATAAGTGTATATGCTCCTAAAAGTAGAGTCCTAAAATACGTAAAGCAAAACTGGCATAATTGAAAGAATAGAAAATTTAACAATAATAGTTGGAAATTTGGAAAAGCCCACCCTAAATAACTGATAGAACAAACAGCAAGAAAGTTAGTATATAAAGAAGGCCTGAACAGCACTCTCAACCAACTTGAGCAAACCTACCTACATTTGTAGAACATTCTACTCAGAAACTCCAGAACACGTAGTCTTTTCAACTGCACATGAAAGCCTTCAGGATAAACACGTGCTGGGCTGTAAAACAAGTCTCAATAAATTTAAAAAGATTGAAATCACAAAAAAGTACATGTTCTCTGTCCACAAGTCAGAGATTCTCAAAAAGAAAACTGGAAAAACCCCAAGTAAATAACTCATGGATTGAAGAATCACAAGGGAAGCTTCTTAAATCTTCTGAACTGATTAAATATAATAAAATTTATGTGACACAGCTAAAGCAATGGTCAGAAGGAAATTTGTAGCTTTAAATGCCTGTATCAGAAAAGAAGAAAATGTTTCTGGTCAATAACCTAAGCTTCCACCCTAAGAAACTGGAAAAAGAAGAGCAGATGAGGCCTGAAGAAAAGAAATAAAGAACAGAGAGGAAATCAATAAAATAGAAAGAGGAAATTAATGAAACTACTGACACACCCTTGCTGGACTGGCCAAGAAAGTAACAGAGAAGACACAAGTTACCAAAATCAGGACCTAGAGGGGCAACATCACTACCATTCCCACAGAAATTAAAAAGGGTATAAGAGTATTATAAGTTTATGCCAACGAATTAGATGAGGTGAATGAATTCCAAGGAAGACACAGATTAATAAATTCCATGAGAAATAAAAATCTGAATAAAAGTATAACAAATACATTGAATTAGTAATTTCAAATCTCACAAAAATGTCCAGATCCAGATGGCTTTACTAGTAAATTCTATCAAACATTTAAAAATACCAATCATTCACAAATTTCTTTCAGAAAAGAAATGGAGGAGATGTGATACCAAAGCCAAACAAATTACAAGAAAAGAAAACTACATATACTTTCCCTCCTGAACATGGACACAAAAAGTCCTAACTTCTAGTCACAATTTTACTGGAGAATCTAGCCTATGCAATGGTAGGGGAGGAATTGGAAAAAAGGAAGTAAATTTATTTGCAGATGAGAGTATATGTAGAAAATCTTAAGGCATCTATATAAAGAACTATAGTAATGTGTTTAGCAAGATCAGAAGATACCAGACCAATATATAAAAATGAATTGTATTTCTGTATATTAGCAACAAACAATCTGAAATGAAATTAAGGAAACAATTCTGTGAATAATAGCCTCAAAATAAATTTAACAAAAGGTATAAGACTTGTACACTGAAAAATATAAAAATTACAAAAGATTGCTATGAAAAATTGACGAAGATTTAAATAAATGGAGAGATATTCCGTGTTCATGGATTGGAAGACTTCCCACATTGATGTAGAGATTCAGCGCAGTCCTTATCAAAATTCCAGCAGACTTTTACTCAGAAATCAGCAACCTGATCCTAAAATTTATATGAAAATAGAGACCTATAGTAGCCAAAACAATTTTTAAAAAGAATAAAGTTGAAGGATTTACACTACCTGATTTTAAAATTTACTATAATACTGCAGTTAGCAAGACAGTATGGTACTGATACCAGGATATATCAATGGAACAGAGTTGAGACTTCAGGAATAAACCCTTACATTTATGGTCAGTTGATTTTCAGCAGTGCTAAAGTCCTGATTCAAAGGGAAAGGGATAGTCTTCTCAACAAATTTGCTGAGAGAATTGGATATTTTAGTAGGTCAAATAATGGCCACCCAAAGAATTAAGTCCTAATCCCTGGAACTTGTAAATGTTACCTTATCTGGGAAAAGGGGTCTGTGCAGCTGTGAAGAAGTTAAGGATTTTGAGATGAGATTGCCGTGAATTAC